CCTTTGTTTATGTAGGAAAGAGATGCTATTAGACCACCTCAGCAAGGCTCTAGGGAAATTGGGCCCTTAGAAGAGCTCCCCCACTGGCCTCCCTATCTTCTGAGTGAATCTGGCTTTAGGCTGTGGGACTAAAATAATCATCTCAGGTTTAAAAGGAAAGAAAGTAACTTTGGATTTAAAATGAACTCAGCTGTACAATCATCACATACATTCTTTGTGCAGATTAGCAGGGGCTGCCTATAGATCCACACACTTACGTCCACTTATTCACATCCTAAACACATAACTCTTACAGTTACAGTCATATGCAAATTCTTCTGTTACACTGTCACAAATCCAAACATAAGTACACTTTGTGTTGGGGAAACCACCACAATCATACTTTCTCCCTACGCTTCTCCCCTCAACGCCCAGCCCCAGACACACACAGCCACCACTGATACCCACATTCACAGTCACACACACCACATTGAGAAGTAACCCAAGTTGTGAGGGTTAGTCACATTCCACAGTGTCCCATTCCTCTCAGGGAGCCAACAGATCATTTCGCAAAGATGTCATCACCTGCCGACTAATGGCAAGTTACAGCCAGAACAAACGGTCCATTACCCACCCCCATTTCAGGCAGGCCCACAGGAGAATGACAGCAGAAACAAAGGAGACTGATCAGACAGGTGAGATGGGGGCTCATTCCAGCCAAAGAGATTTCCTTTTGTCCCTGTGCCCTAGAGCTGCAAGTGGGGAGATGGGAAGGTAGTCTGACTCTCTGCAGACTTCTCAAACTTAAGCTGTAAATCACCTAGGGCCAAAAAAAGAGACTGTTCTTTAACCTGGGTTTTCCTTGTCCAGAGCAGGACTGGGTCATGTTATAATACCTTCTATCTTGAAGAAATCCCCAGTACTTTTTGGACTAGTGCAGGAGCCACTCTCCAGGTCTGGATCTCCGCCCCATCATGTGCAACCTGGGTGTCACTGAGCAAGTTACTTAACCTCTGTAGCCCTTAGTTTTGTCACCTATTAAAAATTGGAATAATAATAGCATCTACCTCATGGTGATATAACATGATTTATATGAAAGACACTTAGATAATGCCTGGCACTTAGGATGCTCAATAAGTGGAATTATAAAAATGATTTCTTATTTTTCTCAGGTCTCCACTCCCTCATTACCTTCATGCCACACAGAGGTGACAGTTTGGTCACCCAGTCTCTGAGACAGGCCTTCTAAAGCCCAGAGAGAGCAAGACCAGCCCAATACCACACAGAAAGAGTAATACAACTAGAATGGATTGATTTGGGGTGACTAGGCCAGTGTTCTCATCTACTTCATTTCTCCCTTAGGAAACAATGAGCATAGCTTGAGGAAGCATTGGGAGGAAATATGACTGGGGCCAGGCAGGATGTAAATAATATTAAGAACAATTACCACTTAATATGTGTCGGGCACAGTTTTGAGTACATTCTACAAATTGTTTCATTGAACCTTCACAGCAGTCCTGTGAGGTGATGATTATCATCATCATCTGCATCATACAGAAGAGGAAACTGAGGCTCCAACACCTAGAACGGCTTCCAGCTGGGATTTGGATTCAGCAGTCTGACACCAGAGATGGAGTGTGCAACCACTACATGATGCTGCTGTCCACGAGGAGAGTGGATGAAGGGAGATAGGAGCAAAGGACAAAGTAGCAATGCGAGTTCTTTCTGAAACAGATGGAGGCAGTTGAGGCAATGCAGTGTTGTGGTTTGGTCCTAACTTAAGATCAAGGGTTTAAGTCTTACCTCTACCACAAGGTATGGGATATCTTTGGCCTCAGTTTCCTCATCTGTAAAATGGGACTAAAACTATTTCTTAAAGGTGTAGTAAGGCTCGGGGAGGTAATGCATGAAAAGGACCTGGAGTGAGCTTTATTAACATCACTATCTCCTCCCTCAAGGTTGCTCCCAGCCTTTGGTCATTTACAGCCTGAGTCAAAACTCTCCTGTTTCTTAAGGCATTTTGTTTTTCCTTGTCTTTTTTCACATAGGTTGCTTTATTTTTCACATCAACCCTGTGAAATATGGGGAAAGGAGTACATAATCTCAGATCTGTTGAAGGTCTTCCATGTGCCAGACAGAATTCTGGGCACTTCCCATAAGGGATTTCATTTCACCCTCACACCACCACTGTGAAGGGGTACAGTTATCCCCACTTTACAAGTGACATCCTTAATCCAGCCAGGTTTGCTTCTTTTTTTATGTACTTTGTCCTTTCATCCCATATATCCAATATAAGCCTGGCCTGAGGGTGCATCCTGCTGAGTTTTTTCTGAAAACCAAATTATTCTGAAATCTCACTGTCCTCAACACACTAATTTTTGCATAATCCGAAGGCCCATAAATTAAGAGTAATTTTCTCCCAGTGGATCTGAGAGCAAATTATGACTCTGCTTCTTATTAGCTATATGATTCTGTGTTAATCACTTAACCTCACCTCTAAATAGGGATAATGGCATCTCCTATTCCACAAGGTTGCAAAAATTAAAAATCTTTCACGAAAGTGCTCTGTCAGTTGGGACATTTCATAGAAACATTATTTAAAATAGAATCATCAGTCAGTTTAATCTCAAAAGAGTCCCAGAAGGGTAATGGATGCTTGTATCTCTGACCTTCAGTCAAGTAGGACTCCAGATCTGCAGCTGTGGTTGGTGACTTTGGGAATGTTGGGGGATTAAAAAGTGCAGAAATTTTTTTAAAAATGCAGAGATTCTCTGCAATGACTGTTGAGGAAATGACCTTTCACCTTTATCAATGTGTGATTTCTATCATCATAGAGACATCTAAATCCTTTACGTCACATTCTTCTCAAAGCAATTTCATCTACATTATTTCATTTGATATTCACTAAAACCCCCCAAAATTAGTCTTTACCAGTTAAAATTGTTCCACTTGCTTTATTACTATTTTTCCCATCTGGAGAAGTGGTCCATCTGAATTTGCAAAATCTTTCCCATCTTCCCTTCAAGACCCATCTATTACAAAGGCCACCTTGGTCCAGGGCCTGGCCTAAATCCCCAGATCAGTCTTCCCTCTGCTTTCTGAATCCACACAGCATGGGACACCTTGTACTGCCCCTTAGTCTACTCATTTACATACTTGTCTTAACCCCTGCCCCTTCTGCCCAATCTTCTCACTAAATCCACAAACTCTTCCAGGGGAAGAATGGGAAGAAGGAATGATTTCTTTGTTGTTTTATGTCAATCCAATTTTTGAAAGTTTTTACTATGGAAACTTTCACATGTGTGTGTTTATGTAGAGAGGGAATATATAATGAACACCCAGCTTCAACAAATAGTAACATGAACAATATTACAGCATCTATACCTCCACTCCTTCTGCCTTCTCTCTCTGGATTATTGCAAAGCAAATCCCAGAGAGCCTGTCATTCCATCCATAAATACTACAATATGCATGCCATCTTTTGCATTTCTGTGCGCCCTACAATTGGAAGACCATTTGCATGTGTGTTCCCTACTACTGGGAGCACATTACAATGTGATTTCTGAGCACCTACTTATATGCCAAACCTTGTGCTTGGCTCTGGAGGTTCTGTCTGAGCTAAGGAAGCACACCAGAACCAAACCACGATGTTCCAAACCAAGAATAACTAAGGTTCCGGATAGCACGGCGTGCACGTGGGAGCCCACGCACACGACCTCAAATTGCACTACTGAATTAAGCGGAATCGGTTTTCCCTTTCCAAGGAGACCCTGAATTCGAACTTGCCGCGTGACACAGGTTCTCCAGCAGGAGGCGCTGCAAAGACGGGGTGGGAACTGGTCGCTACGGTCAACTACTGCTATGGGAGCCTAGGAAGGCGGCCAGAGCCCGCTGGGAGTGCAAACTGCGAGCAACAGCGCGGTGCAATGGGAGGGCAGGACGCTGAGCTCCAGGGCCTGAGGGCGGCCCCAGAATTCAAGGGCTGGGCAGGAGTGCGGGATCGTGGTCCAGGCCGGTCACCTGCTCCCCAGGTCTTCTCGACGCCGCCAGTTGCCCTGACTGCAGCCAGTTCCCGCCACAACTGCCACTCTTCCTGATAGAATATATCTGAGCAGGGCACAGGACAGAGCGAGCAAACACCTGTTTCAAACGAGAAAAGAGGTGGGGGAAAGCCCCCACCATGCTTCCAAAGTCCTCTCATTGCGCTTGCTCTCGAGAGCCTTGTAAAAGCGCGCCCAGAAAGCCAGTAGGATCATTTTTCGAGAAGATCGGTATTTCTTACTATCTCCTTTTCCTAAGCTGTAACGTTCCTTTAAAAAAGTCTTCCCTGAGTGAGGTTTCCCGCTCCTCCCAGACCCCTTAAGGTCCTCGTTTTGGTGACTGCAGGGACCGCCGCCACCCCCATCCCCAAATTTTGTAACCGCCTTCACTTCTGGATTTTTCACTTTCTCAGCCCCCTGCCGACGAGTTACAGGTGGGGAGTGAGACTGTGGAGCAACAGAACAAAGAAACCGGGGAGCCCCGGTACCGAGCCAGGCGCCCCTTCTGTAGCCTCAGACCAGTCAGGGAACAAGAGGGGCTCAGGAACGCATGAACCCTCTATCCCAGGTCCCAGGCCGCTTTCCAAAGGCGAACAGCCTGAGGACGTGTGGGAGATGGGACCTGCCTCCGCGCAGCTGACAGACCTCCACGCAGCAGGCGTGAGTGGCCGTGGATGCCAACAGTCTCCACGCACTGGGCTTCGTTATTTCATCAGCAGTTTCAGAAAAACCTGCCAAAAGCAGTTATGCCTCACTGCAATGTGCAGCTTTTTCCTGCCATTTTTTTCATAATAAAAGAGGGAGCTCGCTCGCTCTCTTCCCCCTCCACCCCCTCTCCCCAAAAGAGCCAAATGGATACAAGAAGGGGCGGGGGGGGGGGAACACACACACCAATCTCCGAAGGGATGCCAGTGAGGTGTGGCTTGTATTTAAATATCCAACATGTCAATGTAAGGGGAGTGGGTATGTATATAAAGTGCAATTTGCATCTGATAGCTTCACGAAACCAGCTATGAGAGGCCTAGGGAGATGGATGCGGAGGGAAGCCGCACTCTGACTGAGAGCAAGGTCAGGAGTGCGCTGCCCGACGCTCCCCGCCGCTGAGAAGTTCCTTGGACGCGAACAGACGTCAACTGCAACTCGGCCAAGCGCGGATCCAGCGAGTGAGCGAGCACCACTGAATCGCCCGCGCTCGCTGAGAGGAGAGGCTGTTCGTGACCCGCGGCCCCGGCTCGGCCCCGCGCGCCCCGCCATGGCGGAGGTGGGGGGGATCTTTGCCTCTTTGGACTGGGATCTGCACGGCTTCTCTTCGTCGCTGGGGAATGTGCCCTTAGCTGACTCTCCGGGTTTCCTGAACGAGCGCCTGGGCCAAATCGAGGGGAAACTGCAGCGCGGCTCGCCCACAGACTTCGCTCACCTGAAGGGGATCCTGCGGCGCCGTCAACTGTACTGCCGCACCGGCTTCCACCTGGAGATCTTCCCCAACGGCACGGTGCACGGCACCCGCCACGACCACAGCCGCTTCGGTGAGGACGAGGCCGGGGAGGGACGGGAGGAGAGCGGCCGGCGAGCTGGGGAGCCGATGGCTCGGGGCTCCCAGCTCCAGTTCGGGGCCCGCGAACCGCCCCAAGCTCGGTGCCTTCTGGGCCCGTCGAAGCGGGAGGCCGCCGGGGACCCGGGGCAGGCGGGACACGCAGTGCGGACACTTGAGCCATGCGGCGTCAGGGCGCCTGGCTCCCTCAGACGCCCTCGGGAGGGGCAGGGACGCCTTGAGGTGAGGCCTCTCCTTTCCCCACGCCGCCCTCCCGCCCTCCCTCTCCTCGGGGGCGAGGCGATCGGTCAGGGACCTGGACGGTGCGCATCGGCTGAAAGCGGAGGGACCTGGGAGAGGGGTAGCTAAGAGCACCCGCCTAGGAGGCCAGGGACGACGACTGTGGCGCGGGGGCTGAGCCTCGAGGGCAGCAGTGTTGTGGCGGCTGATTATCCGGAGTAGACTTCCTGGGCAGCGGCCCGCACCGGAGCCGCTTTTGCCGGGCGGGGACCCGGCAGCCAGCAGTGGCACCTGCCTACCTCTGAGTTTCTCTGCCCGGGCTGGGAGCCAGTTCAGGCAGCAAGGAGTGAATGAATTGGGTTTTGGAGAAACTCGGAAAGCCTCCCGGTGTCCACTGTGTAAGAACACAAGCCCGGGGACCCCTTTTGCCCTACCTCTGGACTCCTTGCCTTGATGTCGAAACGGTCCTGGACCCACTCCCAGCTCCAAGAACAGGTGTCTCCTTGGGCCCAGGACAGCAAACAGTCCCACCTCCATCCAGGTTTTTTCTCTGCCCGCAGATTGTTCGAAGGGCAGAGCCTCCTGTCTCACAGACAATTAGTATAAACCTTGATCTGGGACAGAGATTATTCGGGTTCCAAGCAAGTCTGTTCACTCCTCAGTAATTTGGTCATTTTCATTTTCAATTTCCTGTTCTCCACTAAACCATTATTCAGGGACTGTGACAGCTACCGGTCCTTGGGACCCCCAATCGGCAGTGCCCTCTACTTCCAAGGACCTCATGGCCCAGAACACCTATCCCTAAGCCAGTAAGAGGCTATGCCTCCCCTCAGCCATGATACTGTTCCCTTCTTTCTCCCACCCTCCCCACAAACCTACCCATCCTCCTATTCCGCACACCTTGCTAAGATCTGCATCTGGAGTTCACAGTGAAAAAAGGGGGTGGGGGGTGCAAAGGCCAGCACCTAGGCATGGCCAAGTCTAGCAAATAGCTTAAGGGAAGGGCTGGTCTTCCTTGCTGGGAGAAAGCAGGAACCCTAATGAGGTCTATGTCATCTTGGAAAAATGCACTCACAGAGCTGGAGTACAGTGGGTTGTGTGTAGGGTGGAGGTAATGGAGGGGTGCAGGTGTCTGTATAAACTTGCTGCCGGTCTTCCAAAGGATGATAAGTTGGTGTGGGAGGTGAGGGAGTGTTATCTTAGCTCCTTTCCCTTCCACAGCTTGTGACTTTGCAGTCCCCTTTTGTTCCTCTTCAAAAGAAATGGGACTCCCACCCTGGCCTCAGAGCTCCCCAAAGTCTCCCAGAAATGGCTTGAAGATAGTGGGGTAGCTCATTCCTGATAACACATGAAAGAAAAGTCCTGAGATGGAGAAATGAGGAGTGGGGGCAGCAGAGGCGGAGAAACTATGAGCTAGGCTCCCAGTGGCTACAAATGTTTGTCTGCTCTGTGCCTAAGTTGAGCCCAATAACCTACAAGGTCAACAAAAAGCAGTAATAGGTTCTTGGGATAAGTGGTCTTTAATTACCTCCGTAGGGACACATCTTGATTTCTTTTCATCTGTCAAGCCTGCTAAGGGTGTTAAGTTTAAGGAGAAACCAAAGGAAATAAAACTGGCAGGAGGAAAGGATGTTTTCACTGCCTCATTTTTGGTTTTGCCTTTAAAACAAAACAAAACAAAACACTGCCTGAGGCCATCTCTGCATCACCTTTTCCTTCCCTCCTTCCCTGGCTTCTTCGCAGTTCCGTGTATTTCCTGTAAAGGAAATGATAACTGGTCAAAGCTGTCTTTTTGTAACCTCCCCTGCCAATTTTCAAACACGCATTTACTCTTGCAGTTTAGCTTTTGGCAAAGAAAGAGGTGGCGTTTGAGTTTGCTCTCTCCTCCCTCCACATTCGAGTTAATCAGCCAGGGTATTCCATAAATCGAAACTTTAACATTCTATGAGTGCTTTAGCAGTCAACATTCCAGCAGGGTAAAGTAGGCCAGACCTAAGATATAAAATATTATAGATTTCTACTTGGGGGAAGGAGGTCTCCAAAGGCCATGTAAAGTAAATAGCTATTTGTTGTAACTGGAGATCAGGGCCCCCAGGGGTTACCCTGGAATCCATGTGTTCAGAACAGGTCCGGCTGAACCCAAGAGGAGCCCTGACTCCAAATAATAACCTGTTGGCACAGCCTGTACGCCCCCCGCCCCCACCTCCACTCCCACTCCCACTGTAATTTGGAGCCAGGAGTGTTTCAGTCTCCACATTTACAGGAGGTTCACAGGAACCCTGACATTCCTGAGGGGCACCTGTGGCCTGGCAGAGCATGGAGCTTGGGAGCCAGATGGAAGGAGAGGCCTCCTGCCAGGTGGGAAGGAGCAGGCTCCTGAAGCTGCCTTGGATTTTGAGCAAGCTGGTTCTTACTTGGCAAGGTGCCAAAGCAGCACTGTCTTGGCCCTGCAGATCTGAAAGGATGGCTGGGGGAGCCCAGGTGAGTTGTGGAACCACATTAAATGACACAGTAGCCAGTCATCTAGCTACATTCTGAAGCAGTGGGGTCCAGGACAGATCCGTTTTGACCACAGCCATAAGGGAAAGGGTATAAGAACAGAAAAGTCTGGAAATTGATGAGCAAAAGCCAGAGTCTGAGGTGGACAGATCAAAATAGAGGCAGAGTTAGAGAGAGGTCTTGGGCGTTGAGAGGAGTGAGTGTGCTGAGGACAAACTTTGTCTGCTTAATGCTTTGCCTCAATCCTTTGCTGTTTACAGCCCTCTCCAGCTATAGCTGGGAAAATGTGAAAATTGCTTGTTTTTCTCTCTGCCTCCATGCTGGCTGGGATTCAGGAGAAGGTTTAGGAATATCTGTTCCATTATCATGTGCGACTAGGTTCCCACAGTTTGAATCCAGCTAATAGGAAAGTTGGCAAAGGGAAATGATGCCCAAAGACAGCTGGGCAGGGATGATTCCAGCTGCTGGAGACCCCTGGTACTGGACACAACCCAAGTGACTTCTTGTATGATCTCTCCTTTGGCATCAGGTTTAACAGAGTTGGAGAAAAACTGTGGTGACTCAAGGCAACAGCTCTTGGGTTTCATGATTTGTTCTCACACCAGATCTTGGATGGTGAGATCACAAACTGCCCTCTGCTACTTAATGAGCTCAGGGAGGTCAGAGACATGAGATACTTAGAGAATGAAGGGACTAAGACTTGAAGCTCGCAAGTAGTCTGCCTAAGCAAAGCAAATAACTGAAGGTTCCAGCAGGTTGGTATCCCTCAAAGTTTAGCACCCAGAACTGAGTCATGACCTGGTTTCTCATTTCCTTTCCATACTGGCCACTCTCCTTTGAACACACTCCTGTTTTCTTCATAACCCTCTTTAAACATGAAACTAAAAATAGTACTGTCAGTGTGGTCTAACTAAGGCTGAGCAGAGTGGGGCAGTCCCCTCCCTTATGCCAGTTACTAGACCTCTGTCAGTGCAGCCTTAGGTCACTTGAGCTTTTTTCCTTTTTTTCTATTTTCTTGTATTAGTTCTTTAATGCTGTCATAAATCACCCATACTGAGCTTACTTTGTTCAGCCAAATCCCTTAAGCCATTGTTGTGTATGTTTTGCTAAGCCACATCTCCCCATTCTAAAGATGGGCAGACTTGCAGTTGATAAACATGCACAGAAACACAAAAGAACGGTACGTGCTTTCAAGAAAACATACCTGGTTGCCTGAAGTAGGGAGGAGGATGGGATCACAGTATGGCTATAAAAATAAATAAATAAATAAATAAAAAGCCCTTCCATAGACCATGATAATAGGCCATGAGATAAGGAGCATGATTAACAAAATGTCTGCATTTGAGGCCCACCCTTCCCCAACCAAACCCCAAACCCAAGACGCCTTGGCTAATTGGTGTGGGGACCAAAGTGCTGGACTTTACATTTCTTGTAATTGAAGCTTATTTTGTTGGAGTCAGCCCCTTTTCCCAGTCTCTTGAAAACTCTGGGTTTTGATTGTGTCACCATCTCAGCTGTACGTCTTCTGGAACTAGGGGAAGCTGTCCCCTATGTCCTTACAAGTCATTTATTAAAATGTTAAAGACAGAATCAAATTCAGAACCTTGTGTGATGCAACTAAAGGTTTTGGTCCATTAAATCAGTGTCTGTTTAACCCCTTTTTGGCACTGGATATTTCTCCTTCCCCTCCTACCATCTTGTGTCTGTCTCTTTTCCCTTTGTATTATAAGAGTCTGGTAGCAACTGGTCTGCAGATAAAACTGGGAAGGTTTCAGTGCCAGAGGCCAAAGACCACACTCTGAAGTGTTCTATACAATGGCAGCAGAAGGTCTTTCTTTATATTTAAACAGATCCAAGTGGGCCACAGAAACATGTACCCTTAAGCTGCCACAAATAAACACCCATCTACCAGCCTGAGTCCTCTTCAGGAGGCTGCCCACTGGAGTTTTAAACCTAATTTCAAAATAAGCCACTTACATTTTTTAAGTGATCTTTCAGGAATCAGTCCCACTCCCTATGTAGATTACATAGAAGAATATTATTACCCTTAAGAATTGCATTTTTAGATAAGAGAGCCAGATATGAGCTCATTTCATACCTTTGGATGCCTCTCTGATTCAGTCATATCAAATTTTGGTCTGTATGTTGAAAAACATGGTTAGAGCCAGGAATGCCAAAAGGAATCGAGCTGACCGTTAGTTACACCTATGTCCATATAACAGATGTGCTATCTTAGGACAAAATTATTAAAAACTTCAGTATCACCAGGATGTCAGTTCTGGGTCCTTTTTCCCCTTAATAGTTGATTTTTTTTCCTCTGCTGCTGCTGGGTAAATGAAAATGTTTTCAAATACTCACCTCTAACTTTGTCAGCTAGAGGGACATTGCTGAATGTCTTCCCTTTCCCCCTAAAGTTGCAACATCTCAAATCAGTATTAAGTCCAATACTATCTGCCAACTCTTTGCCATGGATAAACTTAAAATGCTCAAGAGAGAAAGAGAGAATGACAAGCCTGTCAGTCTGGGGCTGCACTGGCTGAGAGCACTTTTTGGGAGGAAGCTCTCAAGGCCAAGTTTTGCCTCCTGCCAGAGGCAGGAATAACAAACTTAGTGTGTGGCCTTTGTTAGTGGCAGCTATGGGCAGTTGACAGCCTTATGTGGCTTTAAGGACAAGAGAGCTAAGAGGGTGCAGAACAAGTTCAGCCTAGAGGACAGCAAGCTAATGATGTATGCTTTAGGGAGGAGGGAATGACTTTAAGAAAACCCAGAAACCTGGACACATTTTTCCATTTAGAAAACTGCCCACCCATTTCTTGAAATGGGGTTTGCCAGCCATGGTACTGTGTGATTATGGAGCTGTTATAGCCAAAGCCTTCGCAGGTCAGAGATTGTTTCCCCCATCATACATATGGGGAAACTGAGACCCAGAGAGACTCAGTGGCTTCTCTTAAGGTTCCATTCTTGCTGCAAAGGATGGTTTCATCTGGCAAGTCACCAAAGGCACACAAGGCTGGCCTCCAGCTGGGGATAAATGACTGGTAGTTCATGTCACCTAAACAGCTTCCTCTTAGCTTGATGTCAGTGATGGAAATGACATTCACTTTTTTGCTCTAGGAATCCTGGAGTTTATCAGCCTGGCTGTGGGGCTGATCAGCATCCGGGGAGTGGACTCTGGCCTGTACTTAGGAATGAACGAGAGAGGAGAACTGTATGGGTCGGTAAGTTTAAGGTTTTTTTTCCACTGGAGGCTATTACCACTGGCGTTTGGATGATGTAAAGCCAAAGTATAAAAACGTTTGTCTAGCACTTGAAAGCATTTTTGTGAACTGTAAAGGATTAGTGTCTTCTTGTCACTTCTTGGCTGGCCAGGAACTTGGTACATAACACTTTAATTTGGCCCTCAGCAAATCATAACCTTTTCTGTGGTATATTTGCTTTTGCCTTTCCATTAGAGGGCCCACTAGTCTGATGATAACTGCAAGCTGTGCGGGTTTGTCAGTAGATGGTAGAGGTTCAGGGCATTAACCTTCCTGAGGAGCACATTCAAATTTTAATGGGTGCCCAGAGGGGTAGGTGACCAGCTGGCACAAAAATAGGCAGTGGAAGAGCTGGCCTTCAGACCTAGAGTTCTGGGATTAACGACACAGTTCCTGATTTCCAGGTTACTTCAGCTGAATCCCAAAGGCCAAATGCAAAAAAAAAAATAAAAGAAAAAGGCTGCTGACAACCCTAAGTCCCCTAGGACTGGGTCAGCTACAGTGTAGTGTGTGCTCTCTGTTCTGGAGGCTAGCCCAGAACTGGGGAGTGGTGAGTGACTTTGGTGACCTTAACCTTTTCAGGGGATCCCAACTCCTGGCTTTGGCTTTTGAGTCACATAGCATGCTTTCTGGCTGCCTGCATGCCATGAAATCAGAGCACATTTTTCCCTGACACCCAAGAGATAGGCCTGTCCCCAGCACTCAGGATCGGCATCCCCAGCAAGTAGCATGGCGGCTGGATCAAGTGTGAGAAGGGACAGAGGAAAGAGACCCAGGAGCTGCCAGCCTGAAGTAGCCAGACTGGAGGAACTTTTCAAGGAGATCTTTTCTGAACTTTCAAACTAACAGGCCTGAGACCTTTCATTAGAAGAGATCACAGCTCACCTCCCATGGAGCTTTATATAGATCTGAGGCTTTGCCTGTCAGTTGACATGGTTAACTATAATCTCAGTGGATTTGAACATGATTAGCCCCAAGTAGGGAGAAAACTCAAGGGTGCCAATGGGGCACGGGAGGCCATAGCTGAAAGTCTCAGGTTCAAACAGCCAGGTGAGGCCATCTCTTCAGTCTCCTGCCTTCAGGAAAGAGCTCACCTAAAACAATTTTGTGTGGCTCATGACAAGAGGATGAGGCAATCTAGATAAGACTGTTCTGTGCTATTTGGAAAGAAGATGCCTAAGTAATACTGGGAGATAGGACAGAAATTTTCTAATGTCGGTGTGCTATTGCTTTTTCAGGGTTTCTCCACCAACAAGGTGGGATGGGAAAAATAGTCATATAATGACTGGGCTTTGCTTTATTTTCTCACCCTCACAGAAGAAACTCACACGTGAATGTGTTTTCCGGGAACAGTTTGAAGAAAACTGGTACAACACCTATGCCTCCACCTTGTACAAACACTCGGACTCTGAGAGACAATATTATGTGGCTCTGAATAAGGATGGCTCACCCCGGGAGGGATACAGGACTAAACGACACCAGAAATTCACTCACTTTTTACCCAGGCCGGTAGATCCTTCTAAGTTGCCCTCCATGTCCAGAGACCTCTTCCGCTATCAGTAGCGGACTCCTAGTGTGACCTCTGTGACCCCTTGTGCTCTGGGGCCACAAACACTATACTCATAGCTTTTCAATCCTCTTGCCTATCGATTTAGATAACAGAGAAGCACTTACTGTTCAACTCAACCCAGCTGTTTCCTTGTTGTTCAAAGTGTATATCAAGGTTGGGTTATTTTGGGGAGGGATGTGGGAGGGAGAGGGTTGCTGGAGGGAGTCATGTATATACTTTTTTCTTTGCTCATGTTCTTTCCCCTGAGGTAGCACAGGAAAAAATGGGGGCCCTGCCAAGGTTCCATGGGTGTCTTGCCCCACAAGCTACCCAAATACCTTGACAATGGGTAAATGAAAGACCAAGGGATCTGCCATATAGATGCTACCTACAGAGCTTTGGAAAAGTCTCATTAAGAGAATCCTTGGAGCTACAGCCCTGCTGCAAGCTGGCCCTGCATGGGCTCTGCAGATTTCTCACCTGTCCTGACATGCAGTTTTCCTGCCATTGGAAGTGGGACATGGGGTAGGTTGCAAGAAAATGATATTAAAATGTAAGGATGGATACTGTGCATAAGGACAAACTATTTATGAAATGTATATGCTATTTATTTTATATATTTATTTATTTCAAAATAATTTTATTTTTAATGAGAGAAGCTATGACTGGATTTTCATCAGAAAGAATAAGGTCCTACTGAAACAGGATAAATGAGTTACTAAAGGCTTTTATTGGCAATAAAATTGTCTTTATATTGTAACTACTGTCTAGTTCTACTGATTTGTACATTTAGTAGGATTAGAAGATTGGTTAGCTTCTTCCTCTCCAACTCATGAGAATCTCCTGATGTCTCCATCACACTGCCTAGGCTAGATGATGCCCCATCACCCACAACAGTAGCATCATCTAGGGGCCTGGTCTGAAGTCCTTCCTGGTTCTATGACTTGACACTTCGTGGTGAATCAAAACTTCAGGAAGTCCTGGACCAGCAGCTCTTCTGTAAGTGGGAACTGAGGATAAGGCACAGAGAAGCCCTCCTTTGGGATTTGGCTTGGGCCCAAAGCCTGAAGGTCAGAAACCCTTGTTGGTGGCTTCTTACTTTAGACAGGAAGGTGAAGGGATTCAAAATAAACAACAATCAATAGGACAACTGATTTTTGGAACCAGTCACCCTCCCTTCTGGAGGTGTTATCCCACTCTCCCAAACTCCCCATGCCAACCAACTCTCATCTCCTACCCCTACATCTCCTAGAGAGTTCTAGGAAGCTGTTAACATATTTCCCTAAAGCAGTAGTTCTCAGAGCCTAAGATCTCCTGACTAACAGCAGCATCTGGAAACTTGTTAGAAATGTAAATTATTAGGCCCTACCCTAGACCTGCCAAATCAGGAACTCTGTGGGGTGAGGCCTAGCACTCTGGCATTCACAAGCTTTTTCAGAGGATCCTGGTGCATCATACAATTGGAAACCTAATAGCCTAAAGGAATAGTTTTCAAAAATAATTCATTTTGCAGCTAAATGGCTTATAAATGAAGTTTTAGGATCATTTCAGTCCATAAAACAAAAATAGAGTGGCTCTAGTTGAAGTGGGGCTGGTATTCCTGGATCTGCTGCTTCTCCAGAGCAGCCCCTGAGATATCTTCATTTAAAATCCCTGGACTCTTTGATGATACTTACTGAAGTAGGAGCACAGTGTTATGTGAATTTTCAAAGCAAATGCTGTCAGGAAATAAGAATCAAAGGAATAAAAGTCTAATTGAGTGCTCAGGTACCATGAACGACCGGTGGGAGTTTTTGGGTTTAGGATATTTCCCCCTGGTGCTCCTCAGTCACATCATATAGGCGCTCACTATTTTTCTAACTAATTCTGTGAGTGAAACAAATAGCTTAAGTAGGAGCTCACTTAAAAATAAAAACCAGAAAGTCTATAAAAACTCATCCAAATCGAAATACCCAACAAAGAAGCTATATCTTTGAAAATGCACACATAAGAGAGTAAATAAGACTATGTAAAAAGTGCTAAGTTGCGTGGTATATGTGATCATAGACTAGAATGCTCACCAATGGACCCACCAAGGCAGAGATCTCTCAGGACCAGCCGCAACAGCAGCCCTGACAGCAGCAAGACTTTCCTTCCCCTCCCTCCACATCTCTCTTTTCATCCCCAGTGCCACAGTCAAATGTTGCTCACAATCAAGAAACAGAGACTTAACCCACCAAGCCCAGACACCAGGAGTTAATTGGAGCCATCAAAGCAGACTCTTTTCCAAAAGGACTTTAATCAAAGGCTTGAAATAATAAAAGAACCTGAATTTATCTTACCTTCAAGTCACTGCAGTGTTCAGTCATGGAATTCCTGGCTGCATAGTCAAATCCATCAGGCTCAGGGTTCTTGTGAGGCCACAGGTCAGAAGGGCCCTGTCCAAGTTGCCAGGAAGTAGGCCTACTCTTCCTGCTCCTGAAGAGGCCAGTCCTTGGGGACTGCTTTCACTGTCTCCAGAGTAGCTGGTGCTACATTGCCTTTCCCCAGCACTTCATGAGAATCTGTTGAGGAGGAATCATGTTTGGGATAAGGGAACCAGAGAGGAGAAAGTCTCTCTTTTAGAAAGGCACATTCACCATCAGCCATCTAACTCCCTTGCTCAGCAGGAAGTTCAGAATGTAATTAATTTGTCCTTCCTAGAGAGCTCCCTGTGTTCTCAAGAGAAAATGGAGGAGGACCTTTCTAATAGGTTCTACAGCAGAGCTGGTACAATTGCAGAGGGATCCCACTGTCTTCTTGACCCTCAATACTCTCAGCAGATGCTGTTTCTCCTCTACATCTTTCTGATTCCCAGAAAAGGTGTGAGATTGGCCCTGTTCTTTATCATTGCCATTGGAGCAAAAGACATGCGAGAACATGTTCCTCAGGTGCTGGCGTCAGACCAATCCCATTTTACATCCAGATTCCTTTTCTAAACCTTTGACCCTGAACATATTCAATAATTCATTCATTAATTTAACAAATAGTATTGAGCACTTAGTACATCTTCAGAGATACAATGGCGAATAATAAGACAGGCATAGGGCCTTTCTTCATAACATGATCTAGTAAGAAAGCAGACATAAACCTGTATGTTGTAATGAGTGCTGTGAAGAAAGAGTGCAAGGTACTGTGGGAGTGTATATCAGAGCAACATAACTTATTAAGTGGGTTAGGGGAAACCTTCCTGCAAAGTGATGCTTGGGGTGAGCCCTGAAATATGAGTAGGAGTTAGCTTAGTTGGGAGTAGGAATAGCTTTTCAGGCAGAGAGAACAGGAATATGTAAAAGTCCAGAGGCAAGAAGAAGTTATGCGGTAAAAAAAACTGCGAAAATCGTATGGCTGAATTGTAGACACAGTGCCTACACCTGTAAGATGGGGGTGGTCATGGTACCTACCTCAAGGACTGCTGCTGTGAAGATTAAGTTGGATGATGTATGGAAAGCTTAACATGCTCAGCACTGTTCCTGGTGCACTCAGTAAATGTAAGCACTCAATAAATGTTAGCTATTGCTGTTACCTTTAGTTCATTATTAATAGTAGCATTAATTTGAGGACATATTTCTGAATGAATGTATGTGTCACTCCATCCCCTCTCCTATGGGTATGATTCTGTTGGGGTTTTACAAAGGAGAGGTAATAGAAAGCAAGATGGCACATGGAACAGCAATGCCATACAAATGCTGGCCTCTTCTTAAGAACATATCATGAGAACACTCACTTGGAAACTCCATCTTCTAATGCACCTGCCTATGAGGCAAACCAACAGACTCCTCACCCAACTTCCATTTTAGTTATATTTTAGCAGTGCATTCTAGGGTCCCAGGATCCTCCCTTGTTCAAACTTCCATAACCGTACCATGAATAGACAGTGTCACGTGGGTCCCATGTATCCAGAACCCACTATCCTCATTTCTCTTGTAGTTATGTCCTCTCAGCCCCATCCCCAGTCCCCTTTAATGTGCCACACACTAGACACCTAGTAAACCCCTTGTGGCAGAAGCATGCTTGCCCTTTTGGTTTCCAATCTCCTTGCATCTCACCAGTTGCAAATGCTCCAAGTTTCCAAAACCCATCACACCATCCTAACCTCATGTAACACTATATCCTCTAGGTTTTCCCAGGATCCCTTCTTAGGTTAATAGACCAACACCCAATAGGTCCCAGAACTCTGTTGCAATATAAACCCAGGGCATAGCCTCCTCACAGTATAATCTGAATATCATGTATTCATCTAGCACAGGGTAATAAGAAGGCCCCCACCCAAAGCCCCATCCAACTCTAGTTTCCAAGTGCCCACTTTCTCTGCTTCTGCTTCCTGGATTGCCAACATTGCTAGATAAAGTTATGAAATTTGGGTCATCACATGGCTCCACTATAAGTATAATCTCATCAACCTCAAATGGACTAGCCCTTCTCTACTTGACAGTCCTTCTAGTCATTTAGTTTTGATTCTGTCTGCCATTCACCATAGCTGATCATAAAAATCCCTAATATCTGAACACCTTCATATTAGCTCAGGGTTAACTAAACTTCTCTGGTGAACACCTGGCATAATTATGTAAAAACACAGACTCCTGGACTCTTTTGGGACTTCTTAAATCAGAATTTCCAACTGGGAGACTTGGTTATCTATATCAATGGCTCTCATACTCTTTGATCTGAGGAACCTTACTTACTTAAAAATTATTGAGGACCTCCAAAAGCTTTTGTTTATTTGGGTTATAGCTGTTGGTATTTACCATGTTAGAAATTAAAATTCAGAAAATGTTATTATCTAATAATTAATTTAAAATAACAATAAACACTAACATTAACATAAGTCACATTTTTATGAAAAATAACTATCTCCCCCAAAATTTAGAGAGTGGCATTATTTTAAATTTTTCCCGATCTCTTTGATGTCTGTTCTAATACAATACAGCTGGATTCTTATATCTGCTCCTACATTCAATGTGTTCCCATATGTTCTTTTGGTTGAAGTATAGGGGAAAAAATCTGATCTCTCCTAGATTTGTAATTAGAAAAGAAAGGACCTCACAGACCCTCAAGAGTCTTTAGAACACACTTTGAGAATCACTGATCTATATATTTAATAAGTCCTCAAGTAATTCTTTTCATGAGAATAGGTGGTAAACACCACATTAGTTGATGTGAGATATTACATATCTCCATTTTTCTCCAGCCATCATCCCCAATCTGTTCTGGATTAGGCAATCTCTAGTCTCTGTAGGTGAAAGCTCCCTCACATTTTACTAAGACCCAAGCCATCTAATAGTGGCTTCTTATCAATAATTTTTTGGTATTACTTAGTTTTGCTTTCTTCTTTTAAAGAAAATATTTTTGAATTTTTTATTGTGGTAAAATACATATTTTAAAATGTGAGATTTTAACCATTTTGAAGTATACAATTCAGGGACATTAATTACAATCACAATGTTGGGCAACGATCACCCTTATCTATTTCCAAAACGTTTCATCACCCCCAAACAAAAACTCTGAAAGCATTAAGCAGTAACTCCCAATTACCTCACCCTCCCAGCCCCTGGTAAGTCCTAATCTACTTTGTATCTATGGATTTTCCTATTCTGGACATTTCATACATGTGGAATCATAATACAATCTGTGGTCTTTTGTGACTGGCTTCTTTCTTGCAGTATAATGTTTCAAAGATTCATCCGTACTTTAGCATGTGTCAATAATGCATTT